ATTCATTTTCGATTGTGATTTTTGTATGTTGAATGTTTAAATTTGAAGGTGCTTTCCGTTATTTTAAAAAAAAAAAAATTTACATCCATGATCATGTTTACTTTTTAGATAGATTGACGTTTTAATTATAGCGAAGTAGTTTTCCTGTTTTTTCTTTACAGGAACTAGCTATTAGATAGAAACTAAAGTCATATAATCTATTTGCATTAGAAGGAGGTATTACAAAGTTATATATTCCTATATTTAATCAGTCGTAATCAATATTTTTATGTTCCACATTTTACGAGGGGTTCAAAAGCTAAATAGTAGCATGGTTATAAATATTTGTGAGTTTGATTTATTGGAATTTCCATTTTCAATTCTATTATTTACTGAAACATTTGCTACTTTTGTGTTCTATTTTAGAATGGACTTCAAACGAATAATTTAATCGACCTTAATTATGGGTCAATACTAGCCTGGCCCCACAAAATTCGTTAAGTTTTTTTCTTTTTTACTCATTCATTTCTTTTTGTTAGAATTGAGTTACAATCCTATGATGCTCATCTGTGTTTGTATGTTTACTGAAGTTGAGGTTTTCTCTGTGAGGAAGTTCAATAGATGAAAATAATAGTTACTACACAACTTGCATGAAAGCAAATGTATTTTCTTTAATTGATACTCTTACTAATATTATGCAGGTAAGTGAAGTGAGATCTAATCTTAATGAGATTGGGTATGACATTAATTTAATCCATGAGATAGTATCCAACTTGGTAAGCTACCATAGCATGATTGTTTAGATGTGTTGTAATTTTCTTTTGGCTGCATTTTTATCTCACAATAATTCCTCCTAAATATCTTTATGAATGTAGAAAGCATTTTATGATTACAATAGACCATCTACTGGATGCACAACTTGCGTTGTAATTGCCCCAAATGATCAACTTGTTGCAAGTGCTTGAGACACCGTTGTGTTCTCTCTTAGAGAGTCTTATACTTTCCAAGGGGTAATATTAACTTTCATTGTTTAGGAATACTCTTGGTTATTTCTTCCAGAATGGTCTCAATACCCATAATTTTGTGCGGCATGAAATTGGTGATTTACTCATAAACCTATTTAGATGTAAGGGAGAGAATGCGGCTTTGATTAGGTGTCATGAATTTATTGTTAATTATTTAAGTCCACAAGTGACCACGAGATGCTATCACATAGAAGGTTTTATTGCTGTGTGTTTCTCTTTTGAACCTTTTGTTCAGATGTTTAAATGAGATATTCGTTACATTGGCTCTTCTATATGTGTTGGACTAGATGTTTTGTTTATTTATGTTTAAATTTTGTTGATAATGATCTCTTTTATGGTGGGTTCTTTCATAATTATTCAAGTTTACGTTTTCCTCCTTTGCCATTTTTCCTATTTCCTATTTTCTTTGTTTCCTTTACCATTTTTCTGTGAACAAATTTTCCTATTAAAACATAACGATGAAAGGTAACCATTTTTCACTTTGGCCTTCAAAAGTGGACTTTTTAAAAACCTTCATCTGAAGAAACATGTTAATTAATTTTTAATTATGTGACTCTACCTTCCTGGAAGTCTAAAGAGCTGAGGTTAAGCTATCCCTATTTCTTCGCATGTTGATGAGAAAATTTCAAACTTATTAGATAGTAGTGCAATGAAATCTTTGAGCTTGGTTTTGTTCATTAAGTAGACGAAAACTTTGATAGTTTTTTCAATTTTTGGATTTTTTGGTATTATGGATGCCTCAAAGAATCGTGATTGATTGTATGTTATTGTTCCTCATTTCATTCTAATTTGTTTGCTTGATGATTGATTAGCTTAGCATTCCCTATACCTATTCATATTTCTCTCACTCAATGTAAAGATTATGTGCTTCAGTTGTATTTAACTACCGGAGAATGTGATCAACTTCATCTTACTTTTGGCAAGTCAATTTATGTCATCAAATGGGTTGAGTTTGTTAACATTATGTAAAAATAGTTGCAAAATTTATGGAATCTAAATGTTCACATCTTGTGTCTAATACAATGATTTTAAAGTACTAATTTAATACATGGTTCAAATACAAGGTAGATTGGTATCATTAATAATATTAAAACACATCATTCAATGTACATAATCAGATGTTTACATACTCTAAAATAGACTATCATTTTAACGATATCACTTAGGAAAAAAATATAACGGTAATCGTGCAACGCACAATGCAACACTAGTAGGGCTCGGCTCGGGCTCGGGCTCGTGAAAGATGAGCCGAGCTCGAGCTCGGCAAGTTGCTTGGGGGCTAGCTCGTTAGCTCATGAGCCACGAGCTCTTCGGCCGAGCTCGTGAGCTCATGAGCTACGAGATCGCGGGCCAAGTCGCTCGTGAGCTCGTGATTTTTAAAATTTTTTCTTTTGTAAATTTGCACATTTTGGACCTTTTTTTTTAAAAAAAAAATTCATATTTTTGAGCTTGTGGGCTCAACAAGCCAAGCAGGATCAGCTCGGGCTCATCATTTGACGAGTCCGAGCCACCCATGAGCAGGGTTTTGATGAGTTGAGCGGCCTTAAAAGGGTAAAATGGACCATTCATTATTGTTAGCTAAAATTTTTAATAATAAAATTAAAATAAGATGAAAACTAAATTTTTTCTATTTTCTAATTATACATTCATTGTTATATAACCTTTTTTTCCCTTAAAAATGAGGCTTAAACTAAAAATGAGGCTTAAACACAAGAATTTTATTTATAGATAATTTTACTATAAAGCATCAATTGGTTGAACTTTTTTAGAGTATTTTCAAGATGCTCTTTATTTAAAATAGTCACCACTTAAATTTATGCTCCAAGAGACTCTTTAAATTAATATTTTAATATAAAGAGACTATAATTAAATGCATTCAAAGTGTTTTAATTTTCAATGTAGAAAAATAATAAAATAATATAAAAAAGCTAGTTAAAATAAAAGATAGAAAAAATAATAAATATTTCTTTGAAAGTAGTAGAATTAAGCGTTAAATATAAAAAGCTTGTTGGACTATTTCAAAATTTTAAGGGTGCGTTTGGTTTGAGTTTTTATTTTCTATTTTTTGTTTTGAATTTATTTCCTATTTTTTGTGTTGATGGATTATTTTAAAATTATAGAAAACGCGTTTGATTTGTTATTCTAAAAAACTATTTATCAAAACAAAAAATTAGAAAGTGCGTTTGGTTTAAAAGTTTTAGAATAGTTTTATATCCTTTTTTTTAATTTATTTGATTATTTGGTAAAATATATCAATTTTATGCTAATATGTGATCAAAAAATTAAATTTAAAGTTTGTAAAAAAAAAAAAAAGGAGTCATTATAAGTAATTAAGTATATCTTCAGCAATCGCACCAAAATTATCCGTAGATGATAAATTATCCGTATTTGTATTTTAAAATAACTCATTTTGAAAATGACATACCAAACATCTTTTGAGCATTTTAGAAAACTGAAAATGATCTCAAAATGTCAAATTAAATGCACTCTGACTCTCTAAATTTATAGACACTCTTCAAATAATAGAATATGTCATTTAAAAATAGATAATATTTTGAAGATGCCTTTAGTAATAAATGAAAATTAAGTTGACTTTTTCACGAAATTCTTTGCATAAACGAGACTAACGTCTAACCAAACGATCCTTTGATTTAACTTATGATTTCATCATACTTCACGACCAAGTAAACTGTGGACTGGCGATGAAGAACATTATTCTAATTGATAAATAACATAGTGCATGATCTGTTGTAGCCTTTTACAGCCATTACTTTTGTAGTCCTCGAAAGCATTCGTGGAAGAAGGTTACAGGTTAAAATTTCAATGTGGGGAAAAGCAAGAGTCACAAATGGAAGACCATAAGTTCACAAGTCAAGAAGCAGAGTCGAATTAATGTGTGTTTAAGCCACTTTTTTTAAAAAAAATGTATTTTGAAATAGTAGATTGATGAAAAATGTGCAGTTATAAAAAAGAAAATATATATATATTTTTTTGATTTATATATAATATTATTTTAATAAAAAAAGGTGATTAAAAGGAGGGAGAAAAAATGTACTCCCAGGAAAATGAGAATCAAATACCCAAGTGTTCACATGATGTGAACGATCATCTTTTCCTTTCGAGTGTGCTTTATACGGAAAATTCTTTTTGATAATCTTTTACTTCATTATGAAGGAATCCCATATATCTGCGTATATATTCTCTGTATCACTTCACCATGCCATGAAGTTTCATGCTTGCAATAGTTTTGCACTTAGAGGGTTTTTGTAATTTTCAGTGATGAACGATCATCTTTTCCTTTCGAGTGTGCTTTATACGGAAAATTCTTTTTGATAATCTTTTACTTCATTACGAAGGAATCCCATTTATCTGCGTATATATTCTCTGTATCACTTCACCATGCCATGAAGTTTCATGCTTGCAATAGTTTTGCACTTAGAGGGTTTTTGTAATTTTCTGTGTTGATAGCTAAAATACGCAAAAGAGAGTGAAAGTGACAATGGAAGAGCGTTCTTCAAGCACGAAAAGAGCTCGGCCTACGGATGAGTTTATTCAATTGGTGTTTTCGTGGTCTCTTGAAGACATTTTTAATGAGGATCTGTACAGAAACCAGGTTCGTTCTTTGTTACTCTTTTGGATTCTGGTGGTAAGTTTTCAGCAGAGTATTTAACATTTTTTGCAGGTCTTAGTTTGATCATTGATGAATAACTGTAGCTTAATATTTCAGCAGAGTATTTAACATTTTTGTGCTTAAACTCGTAATTATTCTGAATTTACTTTTGGATTGCATGGTGCTTAAATTTGCATGTAATTAGAGGGGCTTTTACGCAATTGAGAGATTCGGTAGAGAAGTTCATAAATTTGGGTCATCTCAATGAGATGATCTTAGAGCATGTTCGCTTATGCCTAAAATGTTAAAGCGAACTTGCATTATTAAAATAGCAATTTTTGTACTAAAACTTCGGTTTTTTTTTTTTTTTTTTTTGTGGGGGTTAAAAAATTCCAGAGTTACATCAATCTGTGGATCTATATCTTGGTTCATATGTCTACCCCTTACTGGAAGAAACTCGTGCAGAACTTGCATCAGCCATGGACGGTATTTATAATGCTCCTTTTGCGGAGGTGATAGCTCTTCACGTGGCAAAACCTTACGACACACACACTTTGCTGTATGATGTAAAAGTTGAAAAATGGAAAAACAGATTAGGCCATGGTGATAGGGAGCCATATAGAACCTTGCCTGGAGATGTAGTTTTGCTTTTAAATGGGAAACCTGAATCGGTTGCTGACTTACAACAATTTGGATGGACGTGGACTTTTGCGTCGGTGACTAATATTGCGGAGGTTGAGAATGATGATACTTACCCATCCACTTATTTCAAAGTAAAAGCAAAGAGACGCATTGAAGTTGAAGATGGACAGCACAAATCACTTTATGTGGTTTTCTTGGCAAACATAACGACAAATCGAAGAATTTGGAATGCATTGTGCATGCGTCAAAACCTAAATATCATTCAAACAGTATTGTCCAAGAATGATCGGGTAAGTTACAATTCTAATTTAAATGTTGATTCAAGCTATGGAGGAAGTATATACTTAGAACTTCTGCTTGGATTTCTGAGGATAGAACCAACTTTCTCTTTATCAGTTATCATTGTTACAATTTTTCATAATCTCCTTGTACTTTTTGTTGCCTTTCATATGTTTGTCGCTCATGGCATGTATCGACCAGAGATGTAGGTTATATGATTAAAACCTAGGAACATTTTTTGCTTGTATTGCAAGAAGTGGTGCAGAATCTGTGTGATTGATAAATTTGTATTAACTTTTCTTAATAAGGCTGTAAGAGTATATACTTAGAACTTCTGCTTGGATTTCTGAGGATAGAACCACCTTTCTCTTTATCAGTTATCATTGTTACGATTTTTCATATTCTCCTCGTACTTTTTGTTGCCTTTCATATGTTTGTCGCTCATGGCATGTATCGACCAGAGATGTAGGTTATATGATTAAAACCTAGGAACATTTTTTGCTTGTATTGCAAGAAGTGGTGCAGAATCTGTGTGATTGATAAATTTGTATTAACTTTTCTTAATAAGGCTGTAATCCTTGTATATATCCTCCTGTATTGATTAATAAAATATACAGAAATCAAATTTGTCCATATTGCATTGGGCTTGCTGTGCCACGTTTAAAAAAATTGTGCCTGTGTCAAGCCTTTAATAAAAACTGATTTTGGCCTGCACATGAAGGGGCATGTTAAAGGCTAACTATAAATACATATATGTGTCTCCTTTCTAGAGCCTTGAATTTTTGGATGTGGTGGTCCAACAAAAAGGTTATGTAAATATTTCCCTTTGTAGCATGTCTTTTGCTAGTTTTTGATTTCATGTGATATGTGTTGAGTGAAGTAACATACGTTGTACACATGCTGATTATTTTGCTCTTATTCACAAAGCCAGTTGAAGCTAATTGTCTATTTTGAATACTGCATATTGCTAATAACAGTGTTTATAATCAACATGTGTATTTTTTTCAAAATAGGACGACGAAGTTTGTGAACTTTGTTCTTCTCAAGATGATACAGAGTCAGACATAAAAATCAGACCAACTGCATCGTTGAAGCTGAATAAATCACAAAATGAGGCAATAGTGGCTTCTATTCTGAGAATGCAATGTGAGCACAAGTCTTCGGTCAAACTCATATGGGGTCCTCCTGGGACTGGGAAGACTAGGACTTTAAGTTTTATGCTATTTACTCTCTTGAAAATGAATGTCAGAACCCTTGTTTGTGCTCCAACAAATGTTTCAATCACAGATCTGGCTTCTCGAGTGATCAAACTAATGAGGGAATCTTTTGAAGTTGAACCTGAGAAGAGCTTTAGAACTTGTCCTTTGGGTGACATTCTCATCTTTGGGAATAAGGATCGTCTGAAATGTGGCTCAGACATTGAGGAAATTTTTCTTGATTATCGTGTTGATAGGCTTGTCGAGTGCTTTGCATCTCTAACTGGTTGGAAGCACCGTATATCTTCCATGATTTGTTTTCTTGAGGATTGTGTTTCTGAACACCAAATCTATGTGGAAAATGAATTGATAAAAGCTAAACAAAGTCAAGAGGATGAACTTCAAAAATCAAAAGAAAGTCGAGAGAATGAAGTTCAAAAATCCGAACCAGCAAAGAAACTCCAAATCTATGTGGAAAATGAATTGATAAAAGCTAAACAAAGTCAAGAGGATGAACTTCAAAAATCAAAAGAAAGTCGAGAGAATGAAGTTCAAAAATCCGAACCAGTAGCTTTGCTGGAGTTTGCTAGAGACAGGTTAAGTCATATAGCTGTGCCTCTGAGATCATGTTTGTTGAAATTCTTTACTCATTTAGCTAGAAGTTTTGTTGGTGATCAAATTTTTCAATACATGGCACAACTCGTTTCTTTGCTGGACTCTTTGGAAACATTATTTTTTCAAGTCAAATTGACATCTGAAGAATTGGAGAATATCTTTTCACACCAGGGAACAGTTGATTCTTCCCAATCATCTGTTCACGCATCACAGTTACTATATACTAAAACCCAGTGCCTCTCTATTCTAAAGTCTCTCCAGTGTTCCTTAGCAAAACTTGACTTCCCAAGTGTGATGGATAAAACCTCTATAATGGAATTCTGTTTCAAAAATGCTTCCTTAATATTTTGCACTGCTTCTTCTTCATATAAGCTACACTCAGTGGATATTGAACCGGTCAAATTGTTGGTTATCGATGAAGCTGCTCAATTAAAGGAGTGTGAATCAATTATACCTCTTCAGCTCCTAGGCTTGAGGCATGCTGTTCTAGTTGGAGACGAATGGCAATTACCAGCGACTGTTATCAGCAAGGTAAGCATAATGGTACATCTAAGGGTCTGAAACTTGAATAGAGCCTGATGATTTCTTTTTGTATTAATGATATATTTATTCATAGTTGTCTGATGAAGCTGGCTTCGGAAGAAGCTTATTTGGAAGACTGAGTTCATTGGGTCATTCTAAGCATCTCCTTGATATGCAATATAGAATGCACCCATCAATTAGCCACTTCCCAAATTCAAATTTCTATCAGAAGAAGATCATAAATGCGCCCAATGTGAAAGATAAAAGCTATGAACGTAGCTATCTTCCTGGGAGGATGTTTGGTGCTTATTCATTCATAAACATTCTAGAAGGAAAAGAAGAAATGGATGATTTTAGTCATAGCCGAAGAAATATGGTTGAGGTAGCTGTAACTGTAAAGATAGTGAAAAAACTCTACAAAGGTAATGGTCTCTTTCTCCTTTTCATGTCCGTCGACATTCTTCCCATTTCTATACTTGTATACCTGTTTCACACGATGAACATGCTTAATAATTACTACTGAAAACTGGCATATTGAAACTTCATGCTTAGTATATTGAAAAATGACACATGACTAGAATGTTTTGTTGTGCAAGGTCTTTATAGCATCTCCTTTATGTTAAAATAATTGTCATATGTTCTTCGCAAATGATGTACATAAATTTTCTGAAGAGAACATGGGAATCCCTTTTTGTGGATGAGACACTCTGGTGGAAAGCTAAGGATTATGTTAGAACATGAGTTACTGCTTATTTTTATTAGCAATTTGGTGAATCTCTTAAATGTTTAATGTGTTGATGGTGAAGAGGTTGAGGTTGATACTTTTGTGCTTACAAGTGCCCTATATTAACAATTATTTTCTTTTACGTATGCTATGAACAGAATGGAGTGTTTCACAAGAGAAACTTAGCGTTGGTGTAATATCGCCCTATGCTGCTCAAGTTTTGGCAATTCAAGAAAAACTAAAGGCTGAAAACCATGAGGGGTTTACAGTTACAGTCAAGTCCATTGATGGATTTCAAGGTGGAGAAAAAGACATAATAATTATATCTACTGTCAGATCTAATAATGGTGGGTCCATTGGTTTCTTGGCAAGCCCTCAGAGAACTAATGTTTCTTTGACAAGAGCTCGGTATTGGCTCCCACGATCATTCTTTTATTTTATTGTAAATTTTTCCTTTGAAGATTATGATGCTTACAGGCTTTATACTTTCTAGACATTGTCTCTGGATCCTAGGGAATGAAAGAACACTGCAAAATAGTGATTCAATTTGGCATGCATTAGTGCATGATGCCAAGGATCGTCAATGCTTTTTTAATGCAGATGAAGATAGCGACTTGGCCAAAACAATTGTAGATGTTAAGAAAGATCTAGATCAACTTGACGACCTACTCAATGGAGAGAGTATACTGTTCAAAAGTGCAAGATGGAAGGTATCTGTTTTCCTGTTTATTGCTGTTATTTATCATTGAGATTATGCTGCTATAGAAACTCATATCTATAATACATGCCTTAAGGATCTTATTTTGACGATAAATCATCTGCCAAATCTTGGTTTCTTTGTCTTACTCGTGCACTTTGCTAAATAGAAAAAAGGTTTGTCACATTTTATAGTAAAGTTGACCTGTACTAAAATGATCTAAAATTTCTTTTGTAACCATGTAATTCTTTGCCCCTTTGTTATCTTGATGCGGAACACCATAGTTAATCCAAATTTCTCTTTTCATTGCCTATCTACTATCTTATGGGTACACACTTTTTTCGTGAATTCATTTTCATATATGTAACTTAGTCAAACTTACTCAAATCATTTTTCATCCCATTTTTTGCCTGATGTTCGTTCCATTATAATTTTAACAAACTCCTCCTGTCCCTTTGTGGGGGGTTTGGCATGATCCGATACCTATCCATCAACAAAGGCAGATTATATGTGGGATGGGGACTTGAAGCCTTTACCTCAAAATGTACAGGGATGAGAGAGAAAACTGAGCAGAGAGAACATCTTTAAAGCATCTAGAGGAAGTACTGCCTCCTTCACTAGAAGGAAACCAAATGAATCATTGTATTTAATTGGATTATAATATATGCTATTTTCGTAGATGTTTCTTCCTTCCCAAACGCCTTTATCCATTGATTACTGTTTTTTTTTTTTTGACATTCTTTCGTCTCACAAACAGGTTTTATTCAGTGACAACTTCAAAAATTCATTTCATAAATTGATATCCACCTGTGTGAAAAAGTCAGTAATGAATCTTTTACTGAAGATTGCTAGTGGATGGCGACCGAAGAGAAGAAGTATGGACTTGATGTGTGAGAGGTCCTTGCAAATTGTGAAACAATTTAAGGTTGAAGGTTACTATATTGTTTGCACAATTGATATAATGAAAGAATTGAACTACATGCAAGTTTTGAAGGTCTGGGACATATTACCTTTAGAAATGGTCCAGAAATTGTTGAGGCGTCTTGATAGCATATTTGCTATGTATACAGTTGATTTTATCAACCGCTGTAAGGAGAAATGTATAGAGGGGTAAGTCCTTTTCATCGGTGCTGTGGTGAATTCCATTTATCCACATATTATGATAGTACGTACTTTTCTTATACCATGGTTCTGAAATGAATAATCTTTTCGTCATTTTTGTTTTAATCTAGGAATTTGGAAGTTCCAAAGATCTGGCCAATGTCCCATGATATAGTCCGGTATAAGAATATCATCAACAACAACATATTAGATGGTGATTCAAGTGGTTGCATTGTAGAATGCAGAAGTTATGTTGAAAATTCCAAAGTGAATGAGAGTTTGTTGTTGATGAAATTTTACCCTTTATCAACCGGTGTTGTGCACCATTTGCTATCTGACCAAGACTGCAGAGAACTTGATCTCCCATTTGAGGTTACAGATGAGGAGCGTGAAATAATTTTATTTCCTAGAAGCAGCTTTGTATTAGGTCGATCGGGGACTGGGAAAACAACTATTTTGACTATGAAGCTTTACCGGAAGATAGAGCAGCACCGCCTTGCTTTAAATGGTATCAGTTCGGCTGAGAGTTGTTTGTCCATGAACAATAGAGCTGATGAAGGTACATGTATGAGTGAATATAAGGACAATGTCTTGCACCAGCTTTTCGTCACTGTCAGTCCAAAGCTCTGTTATGCAATCAAACAACATGTGTCTCGGCTGAAAAGGTGAGCGTCAGTAGCCAACTGTTTTATATTTTACTTCACTTCCTTGAAGGAACCACTCAATTCATGGCAAACACAAAATGAATATATCAGCCATTTGTAATGTGATGTGTTACTAAAACGTCTTTTTGTTCTGTTTTCCACTATCACTCTTATCATTGTTTTGGTGTGCTTATTTTCAACTCAAAATTAACAATTAATTTAACTTTACATTTCATGGGACCCACAACTTTTCAACTGTACATTTCATCAACTTTTTTATTGAAAGTAGGTTCCATGGATTTGATCTTATTTAATTTTGCTTTTGCTCATCGTATGCAAGTTTAAACACTTTCTTGCATATAAAATTAATTCATTCTTCTACCTCGGTACAAAATATTTTCACTCTGTTGAGCCAATTGTCTTTGGTGTTCTGATTCATGGTAAGACCCTTTAGATTGATAGGAAACCTTGTGAGTCGGACCATGGTTCTCAGAGTCGAAAACACACAAATTGATCTTTGGGATATTGTGAAACCAGTGGTTGTCATTGTAAGATAATGTAATAAGCTCATGATCGTTAAGGTAAAAAATAAATTAGAAAGGACTTCTGAATTTCATTATAGGTGCTAGTTACTCCTTTCATTTCATGTAAGCTTTAGAATACTTGGAAGACAAATATATCATACTAGCAATATTTTGATGGTGATTGATCTTGGTAAAATAGTCTCAGCCCATTTTTTCAGGTTATGAAAAACATTATTTATTGGTACATTGATTTCAGTTCAGTTTCAAATAACTTAAAAGTTGACACTTTTTCTTCTTTATCTTTTCTCGTAGTGAGCTACTCTTCTTCAATTAAGGAAGATTTATATGTCTGGCAATAGCATTTCTATAGATTTTTTGTAAAATCAAGTAGGGACTTGATTTTATTATACTCAACATCGTTCTTTCTGACATTTCTAATATTCACAGCTTTGCTGGTGGTGGACAATTCCATAGAGACGACAGTTCTATTGATGTGGATGGAATTGATCAAATGGTACAATTTCAGGACATTCCGGATTCATTTGTTGGAATTAAACCAGAAAAGTATCCTCTTGTTATTACACTTCAAAAGTTCTTATTGATGCTTGATGGTTCTCTGGGTAATTCATACTTTGAGAGGTTTCCAGATCTGAAGGATTTTTCTCAAGATAAAAGAAGTTTGAAATCTGTGGCATTGCAATCTTTCATGAGGAAGAAGGAGGTTGATTATGACCATTTCAAATCCTTTTATTGGCCACATTTCAATTCAAAGCTGACAAAGAATCTTGAACCTTCAAGAGTATATACTGAGATAATGTCTCATATAAAAGGAGGCTTACAAGTGGGCGAGGCATGTGAAATTAAGCTAAATAGGGAAGACTATGTTTCATTGTCTGATAAGAGGGTGTCCAATTTTTGTGCTCAGGAGAGGAAGGCCATCTATGATATTTTTAAGGACTATGAGAAAATGAAGATGGAGCTTGGTGAATTTGATATTGCTGATTTAGTGATCGACCTTCATCATCGGCTAAATAATTCAAATTTACCGGGTGGAAAAATGGACTTTGTATATGTTGACGAAGTTCAAGACCTTACTATGAGACAAATTGCTTTGTTTAAATATGTTTGCAAAAATGTTGATGAAGGCTTTGTATTTTCAGGCGATACAGCACAGACTATTGCAAGAGGAGTTGACTTTAGGTTTGAAGATGTACGTTGTTTATTCTACAAGGAGTTTTTAATGAAAACAAAAAAAATTGAATGTGGAGGTAGAAGGGAGAAAGGACATTTATCAGATATGTTTAACTTGTGCCAAAATTTCCGTACTCATTCTGGTGTGCTCAGATTAGCACAGAGCGTAATTGATCTTCTTTGCCATTTTTTCCCTCATACTATTGATGTATTACCACCAGAGACTAGCTTTGTTTATGGCGAACCTCCAGTTGTGATGGAGCCAGGTAGCAATGAGAATGCAATTATCACTATTTTTGGATGTAGTGGAAATGTAGGAAAAATGGTAGGTTTTGGCGCTGAGCAGGTCATATTAGTGCGTGATGACTCTGCGAGAAAGGAAATATCTAACTGGATTGGACATCAAGCTCTTATTTTGACGATAGTAGAGTGCAAGGGTCTCGAATTTCAGGTGAGTAATTTGTGCTTCGGTCATTTTCTCTCTTTCAAAATTACTTTCGAAAGCATTGCATTATGTGAGGTACAATCTTATCCACCGTTTGAGCCACATTATTGTAAAAATGATAATGAAAAATATAGTCGTTATGGGTCCCACACAAGAGATAAAAAGTGAAATAAGGTGGTTTAATGTGATGGTTAACAGTTATATCTTTCATTTTAATGAGGAAATAATGGGGCTCAAACAGGCCTTTAATACATTATTAGATGCAGAAATTACATAAGTGATATATGTTATGTCAACACATTATTGCTGTTTACTCTCACTAATGCTGCACATTGGCTTTAGGATGTGTTACTATTCAACTTCTTTGGCTCTTCACCCCTGAGGAGTCAGTGGAGAGTAATCTACGAGTTCTTGAAAGAAAAAGACTTGTTTGATTCTAGTTTTCCCAAGTCCTTTCCAAGTTTTAGCCAATTAAGACACAATATCTTGTGTTCTGAACTAAAACAATTATATGTGGCCATTACTCGAACAAAGCAAAGATTATGGATTTGTGAAAATGCTGAAGAGCTTTCAAAGCCAATGCTTGATTATTGGAAGAGACTTGGCCTTGTGAATGTGAGGAAAGTTGATGATTCACTAGCACAGGCAATGCAAAGAGCAAGCAGTCCAGAGGAATGGAAATCACAAGGAATTAAGGTTATGGTGCTTTTCTACACGTTTTTTTTTCCTTTCACCTATTTCGTTAATTTGTTACCCATCTTTGGTATTCCGTTTGATGCTTGGTCATTGTGTTGAAAAATTGGTCTTGTGTCCTGCCAGCTCTTTTGGGAAAAAAATTATGAGATGGCCATCATGTGCTTTGAAAGAGCTGGAGAACCAACATGGGAAAAACGAGCTAAAGCTGCTGGCCTTAGGGCATCTGCTGATCATATGCGTGGTTCAAATCCCAAAGAGGCCCGTATAATGCTTAGAGAGGCTGCTGAATTATTTTATTCTGCTGGCAAAAGAGATTCAGCAGCTGAATGTTTTTTCGACTTGGAGGAATATGAAAGAGCAGGTGCATTATAGTTTGTTGCACAAACACACACTGCAAATAGTCTTTCTAATGCATTGCATATATCCTAATTATTTTTTAAGTATATTTTAATGAAGTCTGCATTTTTCCCTTCGTTTAACTTTCATAGTCTCCTGAATGTAATTTTTTTTTTCAATGATCCATCAATTTTGAAATTCCCATTCTGCGAGGTGCCAAATTGTTTCTTGGTATATTCTACGGTTTGTGAAGGAAGATGCAACCTAAATATCATAAATATGAGCAACATTTATGTGATGCTTTATTAATATATGACAACAAATTGATTCACAAGAAAATCCTATTCAGGAGTTGACTTATTTGTAGTTCCATCCATCACTTGTGTTTCTATATTTGCTTTCCCTTTCTTTTCCTTTTCTTCTTTCCCGTTCTGCTCTATGTAAACCACCCGCCTCCGCAGAGAGGGTGGAAGAAGGCAGCGGTACTGGGTTTTCCCTTCTTTTTGTTTTTCTTCTTTCTTTCCCTTTTCTTCTTTTTTCCTTCTTTCCTTCTTTTTATTGATGTTTTAGGGTTTTCTTTGTATAAAATGAAAATGGATTTCATATAGTGCTATAGTGTTCAACTAAGTCTAAATTGCAATCAAGTCGCTTATTTTCTATTTTATGTAACATTTAGTAATTAACTTTCCATAATTAAAAATTAAAATCCCAAGTTCTATTTTATTTGTACTAATTTCTTTTTCACTATTTATTTTATTCTTTATGAAGAATTGATTTTGGTATATTTAAAATGACATCTTAAGTTAAGAAAAAAAATTAAGTTTTAAAGACGTATCCATGTAGCTGTATCCAAGATTTGGACTATTTTTTATCCATGTCCTGGTATTCTATATTTTATGTTTTATATGAACACTTTTTTATGTTTGTCATTCTTGTATCTCATAGCCTTCCTTTTGATTCTATGTTTAGCTATTTTCATAGTCTTGAATAAATGGTTACTTTTTTTGTTTACAAACTACAATCTGCATAACTATTGTTGCAGGAAGGATTTATTTGGAAAAGAGTGGCGAATCAGAGCTAAGTAAAGCCGGTGAATGTTTTTCTCTAGCTGGATGCTATGAGCTTGCAGCAGATGTTTATGCAAAAGGAGACTTCTTCGTAGAATGCTTGTCAGCTTGCAATAAAGGGAAATGTTTCACGATTGGTTTGCAATATGTTGAGCATTGGAAACAACAAGCATCACTAACTGATGGTATGATGAATAAGTTTAAAGATTTGGACAAAATTGTGCAGGAATTTTTGGAGAGCTGTGCTCTGGATTGTCACAAGTTTAATGATAAAGCATCATTGATGAAATTTGTTAGAGCTTTCCACACAATGGAATCGAGACGAAAATTCTTGAAGTCTCATGACTGCCTTGAAGATCTTCTGGTTTTGGAGGAAGAGTCTGGAAACTTCATGCAAGCTGCAGAAATTGCACAAGTGATTGGAAATCTCCTACTTGAAGTTGATCTTCTGGGTAAGGCTGAGCATTTTAGAAATGCCACTTTCCTTACCCTAGCCTATGTGCTTTCTTGCTCTTTATGGGATTCTCGAGGTAAAGGTTGGCCCCTCAAGTCATTTCCTCAAAAGCAGGAACTCGTAAATAAAGCAATTTCATTTGCAGAGAAGGAATCTGGAAGTTTCTATGGATTTGTTTGTGCTGAAGTTGAAATTCTGTTACATGAGCAGGGTAATGTGTCTGAGTTGATACAGTGTTTCAGTGGTTCACAGAAGCACGGAAGTCTCACAGTTGAATTTCTTTCTGTTAGAAAACTTTTAGATGCCCATTTTCAAATACATCCGGCGAAGTATGAGTTGGAACATGAATTTCCTACCAACTTGAAAAAATATTCAGAAGAAAAAATTTTGCAAAACAAATTATCTCCCAGAACTCTTTTTTACCTTTGGAATTTATTCAAGGATAAAATTTTGGGAATCCTAGAATGTCTTGATTGTCTCGAGAGAGAAGACGTCAGCAAATGCAACCGTACTGTTGACTTCTGTTTGCATTATTTTGGCGTCCGGAGGCTGTCGAATAATCTGAATGTGACCTATCGCCTGCTGAACCCTTCTGCAGAATGGGTAAAAAATATTGACGGGAGGTTCTTACGGCGGCAAAGAGAGGTGGTGACCCTTGAAGCTCAACATTTTGTTTCCGCCTTTAGGACTTACTGGCTTGGAGAATTACAATCTGTTGGATTAGGAGTTCTTGAAGCCCTTTACAAATCTTATGTGGGGAAATCCTTTTCTAAATATTGTCAAGGCATCTGCCTGACCTTTATCTTTGATGTCGTGAAATTCTTCACCGAGTCCAAATTGCGTGACTTTAAGAGTGTTTCTATCAAAAAGTTTATTGATATATCAATCAATTACTTCGACATTGTTTTTCCTTTAGATTCTCAGGAATCCTTATCAGAATATATAATTTATCTGAGAGGAACTGAACAGTCTCAGAATTTACTCGAAGATGTTATCTCTCGACATATTGGCACAAAAGATGAACTGACCTATGGACAAATCGGGAAGGCTGTGATGATTTTGCTTGGGTCAGGCAAACACAAAATTGACCTTTGTGAGATGATGGCTAAAAAAATCCCCAAAAATTCGTCCTGGAAAGAATTCCTTAAGATTCTCAAGGGGAACAAGGAGTCGGAGTCAAATTCATTGATTCAGAAGTTCCACAATGCTTTGCAAGAAACTTACAATGCCAACTGGAGGGTACGGGGATATATAGCTCCTAATTGTTACTTGTATCTTATGGAGCGCCTTGTTATTTTGGCATCTCATAACCCCGTTTCCTTCTTCTCTACAAAATCATCATTTGTGGAGTGGTTAGTATATCAGCAATCTCGTGGCATCCCAAGTGCTAGTTTAGTCACTGACAAGCGACCCTATCCAAAAAATGTCTTTGATTTTGTTATTACAGTGGTCAAGCAGTTCCTTTTTTATGGTCAAGAAACAGCACAATGGATTAGGGATTCTAGTATTAGTTACAAGTACCATCCAGTGCTAGTGTTGAGGTTGTTTGTTATACTGTGCTTGCTGTGTCTTAACTCCCGAATGTATTCCAATGTACTTTTTGAGCTTCTAAGTCTATCTAACATCAGAGCCCAGCTTCCAAGAGAATTCTGTGAAGCTCTTCAAAAGAAAAGGAAGAATGATGATGTGAATTTATATGCAGTTGCTAGAGCATTCAAATCAATTGGGGATCCTGTTGTCATTGTCACCCGGGGAGAAAAAAATGATCTGAAATTTGTCTGTCCTGATGCCATTATTCTTGACATGAGCGTTTCCCGGAGCGAAAAAGACATCATGGAAGTTTTATTTCCGAGCAGCAGTAAAACTTCTCATGGACAAATCACTTCAGTTGAAGCAAATATGATTAAATCTAGCGGTGAACTTCCTGCTAGCATCAGCAATCATGGCAAGACTTCTATGTTGCCAAATTTGAATACAGAATTGGAAATGGATCGGAATTTGAGTACAGGGAATGGAAATGATGGACTGCAGATGAACTGGGGAGTTCTTCGGGAAATATATGATATATTGAAGTCTGGGGAAAATAGGAAAGATGGAAATCTGAAGATCCTTGCAATGGAAAAGAAGGTAATTTTATATTGGTTATCTTGTGGCAACTTCTGAACTTATTCCCGATTGTTAGAATAATTGTTATCTTTTTCTTCAGGTACAAGTGGACATCTTAGCCACTCAAATGATCCATTTCTCTGATAAGAAATCTCTTGCTGGTGAAGATAATAACATGCTGGGTGAAGCTGTCAACGCAATTGAGGAATTGAAGCAGCTTTCTTCTTTGATTACAAGGTTAGTCTTTGTGGGGCCTATTTGTTAACAATCTGGCAACTGAATGGCAGTAACCAGCCCAATCAAGTTTCAATAAGTAAAATTGAGGAATCATTTCTTGTGTTCTTGAGCTTTTGACTGCTGATAATCTTGAAAACTCTACTGAGTGTGTTATCTCACTTTCCTGATAATCGAATTGTAACCATGGCGTACTCTTTTAATATTACGATATAACTCTATGCTCTGAGTATCAAATATTGCCCCTTCTTTAGGAGTGCTTTGGCAATCTTGGAAATTTAGTCTTATTCCTGTTTTATCAAAAGGAAGTGAAGTGTGAAAAGTCTTATTCTTAAGACAAAAGCATGTTTTTAAGGTTATTGCATTTGGAGAATGTTATATTTTTATCTTTTACTTGAATGACGTGTTTTTTAAATAATCTCCAGTGACTTGGAAGAGAGAGAGACTTTGATGATTGGAGAACTTTTGAAAAGCTTGGAGTCGAGAAGGCCTAAACTCGACATATACCTTAGGCGGTCTGTTGTGCAGACTGATACAAAAGAAAAATATCAAAGTGTTGTATCTTGTGACGAGGAAATTTCTAACAGAAATAGTAGTGAAGATAGCACGGAAAATTTACCCGTCACTGTTGCTCCCGAAACACAAAGTAAGCCAGACCAGGTCAATGATTATGAAGGCAAGCAAGGAAAGGGAAAGGGCAAGAATAAGAAGGGAAAGAAATCGAAAGGTCGGAAAAAATAAGCTGGATGGAAGTCTTGTACATTGAGCACTTGCAAACTAGTGGAATTTGTGTAAATACTGCTGTTTTGAAACTGCTAAGATTATCATGGCCTTCATGCTCTACCAAATCCTTTAAGGAGAAAAATTACGGAGCTTTTGTTAGATAGAACTTAAATTAAATGCTATTTGTATTTCTCTTCAAGTTTAAGCAATTGCTATTTGAATCTATCTGCTAAAAGCTGAGGAAGTAGTAGTATAGAAAGTGAGATTATGGGCCAAAGTGCTTCGGACATAATTAGAACATATACAAGAAATCCTTTACAAGTGGAAAACTATTTTAAAGAGTAAATCTTGAAATTATGTTTCAAGAGATTCTTCTAATTAACGTCTTAAATTCAAATTAACTTTTAAAGTAGATGGTCAGTTTGACTATCCAAATTTGAGTAAAATTCCGCTCTTTAGATATATGTATTCAAATATTTTAATTTTCATTTCTGGCTAACTAATAGTATACAAGGAAGTAATATGATAATTTGGAAAGATGGTGGTGTGGGAGTAAAAGAGAAAGAAGAGGCGGTTGAAGTGTTTAAAAAATTTCTCATTAATTTGTATATGTTATCTAAATTGTAAAATATATTTTCTAACATAGAGTATCTTGAAGATGTTCTTAACTACGACCTGAAGAACGCATGTTGATTTGGGTGTAAGATGCTCTTATACATGTAAGGTCCTTTCACCACGTGAACTCCAAATCAACAGGTGGTTACTTCATTTCCCATTCATTTGTAGCAGCTCTTTGTCTTTTATTTTCAATCTTCCTTCTCATTTCCCTTACATTTATTGCATACTTTACTCCTATATCTAGGCATAATTTGGCGTCGGGCGTGTGACACTTTCTACCTCCTTGAGAAGATCTACGAAGTCAGAGGAGTAAACAAGCATTTCGTGCAGATACATTATTCAAGTTTAAGTCAGAGGAGTTTAAAAATCACATTGCAACTTCTATTGCTTTCCAGAAGACGTGACCTTTCGAGTAGTACGATGGCTTTCAAACCCTTCGGTAAGAAATGACCGTTGACCTCTGGTATAATAAGTCTATAAATAATATTATGACTAAACTTGTGTGTGTGACAAATTGGAAAGAGCTACGACTTATTGAAACCAAGAAAAAGTAGCAAAAAGAAATGCAGAAAATGAGATTTGATCGAAATAAGAGTTCGACTCTCGTCCTTAAAATAATAATGCTCATCACAAGGGCTAAAGATTTTCGACAATTGTCTATCAAGATACATCGTTCATGTCCCTCAATAGGAGTACTCCACCTAATTATGTAGGCTAGTGTTTTGAACTCTCTTATATGAAAATCGGATTCAAAATAATGCAAAATTTTTAAAGTGAATATGCAACAATATGATTGTACATGGATTAAGTGTATGATTGTATAACTAGAGGATCCTATATATAATAGTTGTAAAGTTGTGTGTCAAAAGATATAATTGTTGGAATCAGACATATCTCCTCTCTAGACACCTTTTGTCTATAGGATATGATTTTTCATTTAAAAACAGTCAAATATATTCTAGAATATTCCATCATATGTGACACCCGATTAATAAAATATATCGTTATGCTAATTCCCATTTTCTTGTTCTTTTTTTAACAATTTTCACAAATTAAATGTTGATTTTTAAACCTTCATTTATCCAAAATTGATTCAAGAAACTAAATTAATCTAGTTGTAAAGTAAAGTAGAACATGTTTAGCCTTCAAATGCCCATAATTGACTGAAGAGTCTTGCTTAATCAATTGGTCAAAACCTACATTTTAAACCAATTTCCAACCATCCTCCACATAAATGAAAATTAATGCAAAGATTATGCACACGCTAAAGGGAGTTCAAGAGGAAAGCTATTATATTGGGTTAGGTACCTAACTAGAGTCTTTTCCTCCCAAACTCACTAATCTGAGACTCAAGAAAGATCAATAGGAGAAAAAATTATTTGGAGGAAGCTATATTCAAATTTGCATGCATTTCTTCATCCTCGATATGCTTATTTAGATTTCTAATCAGGCCTTGGAGGTAAATGAGTCTTGTTAGTTGGTGATATGTGGTAGTTATTGATTGACTGACTTCTAACTGATTCTGTTATTTGCTCATGTTTTGTTCACCTACTAATCCTTATACATTTGTTAAGTATATTAGCTCGCATTATGCACTTAAGGTCGCATAAACCTTGGCTCTTCAGAGTGGTTGCTTAGATACACAAACTCATGAATATTTTATTGATAACACCAATAAGGGGTCACTCATAGTCGAGCACAGTTACACGCCATGGTCCAAGGAAAGTTCCCGAGCCACCTCATCCGGGTCAGTGCTTGCATGATACGGTGGCACATGTAGTACACGCTCATGGAAATCACGCACACGAGGCATATTCTGCAAAACTGGTCATGATTTTGGGTTCCTTTGACCTGTTTAGATATGTAGAAGATATCGTAACAAGTTTATATGAAAAGATTATACACTGAGTTAGTGTGAATATATTTCTCATGCAGTTTAAGCAAAAGGACATGATAGCTTCATATTACTTTGACAACGGATTGGAAAGTCAATACCAAGAGACAATTCTTCCAGAGTTATGCTATTTAACACCATTTGTGTTAAAACATTAATATAGGTGGTACTAGTGTGACACTAAATAAGAGGTAAGATTTAATGAATCACTTAATTCTACTTTTTATTGAGCTTGTCAATTAGCGTATCTAGAATGGTGACAGATAACATTATTCATTATTCGAAATTGACATTAGACCCTTAACAAGTCGGAAGGAATTCAAGGAAATTATCATAAACAACTGAGGGATAAAAGAGACATTAAAAATAAGTACACATTGCTTCATGAAAGTTTGTATTCTTTGGTTCAGTAGGTGCATCTACATGCATGCTTTTACATTTAATAACCATAGTATAGCATTTTCTTCCTCTCTTATAAATTTCATGTATTTGAACCAGATCGTTCCATCTCCAATTACATGGATTTAGAGCATGATACTTTTGTTCATGTTTTAGAATATTAAATTATTAAAACAATGATTATTAAGATGCAAATATCTAGTGATCACACATGCATTTAATAAACAAATTAAAACGTCTATGCTAGTATTAATTGTTGTCAATCATAGTATCAAACTTAATACAGAATCAAAAAATTTATTGCACCCAAAGTGACTTTGACTAGTACATGAATTCTATATAAAACAGAATATGCGCATAAACTAATATAGACCAGTATACAAAATTATACAAAAATTTTCACCTTAAGATTGCTGGTAAAATATGTGAAAGAATTATATTCTAATAAACTATCTTTATGCATACTGAAATAAAAAAGATGTAGAAAAAACAAAATGCAGAAAATGAGGTTTTTATTGAAATAAAAATCAACTTTGTCTTTAAGACGACAATGTCTCGCACATGTGCCAACTAACGTTCATCTTCCAAGATGCATGGACATGTTTCACAATAGGAGCATTCCAAACAACACTGATCAATGAACTGATTAGTGTTTTTAATGATTTTTTCTATGAAAATCGAATTCAAAATAAATGCCAAAGTTTTTTTGAAGCAAATGTGCAACAATGTGATAGTGTAGGGAAAAAGTGTATGATTCTACAGCTAGGGGATCCTATACATAATAGTTGGAGAGCTGTTTGTCAAAAAATACAACTTTCGAAAGAAGATGTCTCATTTCTAAATTATTTTTGTCTAAGAACATATGATTTTTCATCCAAAAAGACCGCATTCGGATCGACTTAGTCTGATTTCTTTGGTGTAAGGATGCGTTAGATTGGGTAATTATGATTAAAATACAAAATAATAATTGAAGGACAAATAAGGAATTATAAAATACTGGTAAGGTAATTATTGTCCTAAAATGATGTTTGTGTTGTAAGTAAAGTATTATTTGTGATGATTAGTGTATCCATATAATCTTAATTGTAACTTATAATATGGAGTTTTGGTTCTCAATAAATTAAACACATAAATTTATTGACTTTTTTCTTTAGTTTATAGCACGCTATCAACAGATAGATGGATGTTCATCCAACCAGATTGAAATGAATCTATTTGAGCCCATGAAAGCATGCTGCCAACTAGCATATTGATTTTGACTAGTAGATTGATGGATGAAGTTCTAGCCAATTAAGTCAGGAAAGCTTTTTTCTCTTTCTACAGTTGAAACTCTAACCAAGTTGAGTTGAGAAAAGTAATTTCTCTTTCATTCAAAAAAAGACATGAAAATTCAACCAATTGAACTTAAATAAACTCCTCTTTTCATTCAAAAAAAAAATGTCGACTTTTTCTTAAATTTGGATTGTATAACAGAGCGATAAAAATTATTTTGACAATCAATTGCTAGATGTATATTTGCTTGAATATAATTTATTAATATAAATATTGTATTATTATTCTGAAAGAAGCATCAATCTAAATCTATATTTCGAAAGAATATTAGGTCGTCGTTCTTGAAGAAGCGTGACAACACATCAAAACAATATTTTGAAGAAATATTGTGTTCAAACTTTCAAAAATATTTTGTTATCCTCGAAGAACTACAAATTTATCCATATCATAATATTTTATAAATATAATAATATTGATCTCGAAAGAGCATAAATATTTTACACTAATATTCTTGAAGAATCATAAATTTATAAACTTCAATAAGAATGTATATTGATCCTGAAAATATTATAATTTTAATAAAAAAATCTCCAAAAGAAGCAATGTTTATTTAATTTAATATTTCAGAAGAATATTGTTTTGATGATGTGGAATAAAAATAACCTATAAATCAATTGTATTGAATAATATTATGTTGGTCTTGAGTATTGTTGAAAAATCGACCTACAATTGGTAGAATTCGGGCCCAGTATACCAATCTCAACCTTATCAATACACCTAAGCAATCACGACCCAAAACCTTTAAACTCTTCCACACTCCAGTTGCTCAAGATTTATACCCACTTAGGACACAAAAGAGAAGGCATTTGTAGCCACAAAGGTGGTGCCACAAAGGCTAGAGAAGAACAAGATGAAAACCGGCCAAGCACAAGCACAAAGCAAAGAGACAGGACTTGTTTTTTCTCTCAAACAAAAACACACATGAATGAAAAAGGAGGCTAGCATATATATGGGTTAGGTTAGGTTAAAGTGATGGGGCTAAGCCCAATACAAATGCGGTAAGTGGGCCAACATATATAAGCCATCTAATGAGTGTAGAAACTAGGCCATGAGCAACACTAATTAATTAGGTTGCTTCTAATGGCCCAAATAGTCTTAGGGTCGGGTCATCAATTTTGGGTGTCAATGTTTAATTTTATTCAACATCGGTTTAACATCATCGTCCGGATTATTAGATATCAAAATCCAACAATCTCCACATTGATACCCAATAATTTGCAAGCAAACAAAACACAAAGTTTATACTTGCATAATCAAGGTAATCCAATAAAATTGGTATTACAGATCTTACCTCGTGTTTCGAACTTGAAATACATATTATACCTATTCCATGTACTCACTGGGACTAAAATCAAAAACACCTAAGTAGGAACAAATATACACAGTGAACAAATAATCATGCGATGAAAATATTATATAGGATAATACACAGATCTTTTCAAAATCACGTTCACATAGAACTACAGATTAACATCATGTTAATGAACACACGGTCAGACACATATGCAACAAATACATAAATTATCCCCGAAAGATCTCACCACACTTATCACATCCCATTTCGTGTTACTCCCATCTCGAGAACACTTATCTCATCTCATTGCCCACCATGCTCACTAGATGATCACTCAACTCATGTCTAACTGGTAAGTCACAATAGATTCTAAGCTCTCCGGATAATCCTCTATCACCACATCACTTCTTTCCAGCTATGTGGATAATGGGTCTCCACCTTACCGAAGTGATAGAAGTGCCTCTCTCACACTCCACCTGTACATGGTCTCTTTCACAGATAAATGATTCTAAACATTTAATCACATCTCCACTCGTGATTCAAATGTCACACACCACATCCTCGATATAAAACACAATGTAATTCTAGGCATCTATACTCTACCTTACCAAAAGACATCCAACACATTGCTAATACATCTTAACCCACTATGCATACAAGCAATTACACCAAATAATCATATTGTTTCAAATTCATGCAAATGCATATATCAAACACATTGAAATGTAACAGATAATTATGCAATAAAATTTAGACAATCACACACATGCAGAAATGATCACACACAGATGCACACACAGTAACTAAGTTTACTCTCAATAAACCTCACTAGGATCACAACTCGACCCCTCAACCACATTCGTCTCACCTCTCACATTACCCTTCTACTTATCATTCTTCTTGGGACAGTCCCTAATAAAGTGTTCAGACTTACCACAGCTATAACACCGTTTACCCTATATTTGTCCCATCCCTTGCCCTTTCTCTTACTATCTTCATCACTCGAGTCACTACTTGAATCACCACTATTTTGAGTTCTACCTAAATTCATTTGTTTAAACTTCATCTTACTCCTTATCATGTGAAACTCACCACTCATCTTATCTTCATTTTTAGCCTTAATTTTCATTTCCTTACTCCTATGTGAGTTTATGACAATCTCAGGTGTTAGGGTGTCCCTACCGTACTTAATTGCATTCTTAACCTCTTTATATGAATCAGGCATGAAATTAAGTAAGATAATTGCTTTATATGTTTCAGAAACATTTTCATCACAGTTAACAATGTTTTAAACAAGTTTGGTAAAAATATTCAGATTGTCATCAAGATTCTTTGAAGGATCCATTTTAAAACTGAAAAATCATTCAAACAAGTAAAACTTATTAGGGGTGAATTTAAGTAAATATAAGTCCTTCAACTTTTTCCAAAGTTATTTTGTAGATTCTGGTTTCCCAACTTTTCTCAAAAAAGTGTTAGATAAATGTAAGATAATCGAAGCGTAAGCAAGTTCATCGTATTCTTCTTTTTGCGTTCCTGTCAAATTTGTAGGAAATTTGCCATCGATGGCCTTTGAAACCTTTTGTTGAACTAAAATCTCCTTCATCTTTTGTTGCCAAATTGAAAAATCCCTTTTCCCATTGAAAAGACCAACTTCGAAATGTGAAGACATCTTTGGGAAAACAGAACAACTAAACGCACAAATAGGTCACACAAAGTAATCATACGACCGCAATATACACCGTTCTAGATTCCCAGGGTTTCGTAAGATTTGGATCTTAGATCAAGGGAATTTTCGAACGGGTCAAGTCTAGGCGTTCTAATAGAATAATAATGCAACACGTATGTTAACAAAAAATTAAAATTCTCACACAATGTAGTCTCACATAGTGACTAGATGACAATTACAACACAAAATCAATTACCAACTTGCAATCAACTTCAACACTTCAAATAGAGCAGATAATTCCTAAATTTTCTAGCACAAGCAATGGTTGTCAAGTAATGACAACCCCCAACCATAATGATCACCCCACACGATGATCTGCTAGTGTGATAATGTAATGTTTCAACCAATTTACTAGAGCTGACCTATCTGAGTTCGTAAATTAGGAGAGATGAGAATCTGCTGCTTTAGGGCCACCACTATTCGCCCCTAAATTTTAGCAGATGTGCCAATACGAATGTCCAGCAACCAATAGCCGCATGTCTAAGAGTAAAATCATCCAACTTTTTTTGTACTAACAACACAAAATCGTTAGAAAACACGTTAGAAAAATTCTGTTTGAAGAAGTCATCGTGGAAGGAGCCCGCACGTACCCCCCTGCACGATCGTCGATGATCGTCACCTTGATGCTCTGGTCACCTAGCACCGCCTCTACCTGTAGATCACTAATCCGGCCGCTGTTTTACTAAAAGAC